AAACTTGGAGCCCTGAATGAAGCCCCTAAAGGCGGTTCAGGTGAATATTCAACATTTACGGAGCCAATTCCCTGAGACGAGGTAACTGGCTGTGTAGGATCATTTCGATCAATATAACCGTCCAGCCCAGAGGAGTTGGTGGCATTTTTGTCATTGGATATGCAGGGAAACTGATGCCGAAAAGAAGTCTCATCACCAAAATACCTTATATCACTCTGATTTTCAAAAGCAGATGCTAGTAACTTCTGTGCCTCAGCCTATGAAAATTGACACTAAATCATTAGAAATGTGGGTTTAGTCTGTTATGAGAAAAAAATTGTTGTCCTACAAAGAAAGAGCAAGAAAATAATTGGGAAAAAGGCAGACCTTCTCAGCCTCGTATACGCTTTCAATGGGAACAAATTGGTTGTTACGGAGTACCCCTTTAAATTGTCTTGCAGTATCAAAAACCACACCAGTTTTATATTCAGCGGGAGAGTTGTATAAGCATATACTTCTATCGTCAATGATACATTGACGAGCATGATCCGCCGTGTTCTTCCATTTCTGAGCACCTATGCCAAGTATCTGTAGACATCCCGAATATATAGTTTGATTATTTTTCCAAAATATAGAGAGTTTATTCAGACGTACATATTATATTGATCATTTATGAAAGAAATAGTACAGCATTAGTAGCCTGAGTTACAATGTAACGTCACTTCAAATGTAATAAAGAGAAGATTTGGGGTACCTTGTACTCAACAAGTTTGGGATTAGCTGCAAGAATCCTTTTCGAATACTTCATTCGATCCACCACTACGTCTACTAAAAGATCCAAAACAATCAAATATTTCGCAACCACAACAGCATATGTTAATTTTGGCGTCTCTACCTGTTCTAGCTTCTTCTATTGGGATTGAACAACTCTTGCGAACGAAAGCTTCTTTAGGTCCAAGCAAAACATGTACAAATCAACTATGTCATTTTCCCTTAATTTATCCTTAAATTAGCTCCCGTTTGATCCACATTATTTTTTTCATTCTCATTCTTCTACTCATTTTCAACCACACATTCTTCAACAAAATAATATTTTCCATTACATTAATAATTTTTCCTTCTTTTTCAATCATATATTCCCCATCACATCACTTCAAAAAAATGCATTCTCTCATTTTAATGTGCACCAAACAGGCTCTTAGTGTCAATTCCAGTCTATGATGCACTGACCCGAACACATATGTCCGACACGATATGTGTTAGCAATTTTTCAAAAAGTACTAACATGAAACATCACCGACACGTTTTGATTAAATTCTTTAAAATTCATTTATGTAGTATAAATTTAGTTTTATACTTATTATTAATTTTTTTTATTAAAACCTTTTAACTAGAATATCTATTTGTTATTTACTAATAACTTTGAATTAAAAATATATAATATTTCTAATAAAAAAAGGAAAATAATTATGGTAGAGTGTTCGAGGAGTATCGATATTGACACATGTCGGACAAGCGCTATCGTAGTTGAAGTATCCGTGCAACAAAGATTCTAGTTATTGGTGCATATTGTCAAGTCTTATCTTATCCATTTTATTATGAATACCATGATGCACATACATCGAAGTTAATATTTTGTTATCATTAATTGATGTGTTTTTTATTATTTTGTGTAGCAGGAGTTTTAATTGGATTAGGAGTTTTATGATAAATTTTCAGAGTTTCTTTTATTTTAAAAGTCTAATCATGATTATGGGTTTAAATAGAGAGTTAAGATTTTATTGTAAATTAAATTGGTTTGAATATCAATAATATTGAAGAGTTTCTCCAAATTCTCAATCTAATGGGTATTTGTGCGCCAATAAATAGATTCGCTAGTAGATTTGTGTCATTTCTCCAAATTCTCAATCTAATGGGTATTTGTGTGCGAATCAACCATTAGTAATCCCATGTTATTCTTCTATCTCGCTTACATTTGCATCAGGTGGCATTGTGTTCCTGTAGGGACAAGGTCTCTGTGAAGCCTTCTTCGATGGGATTCATTATTGAGTAGAAATGACACAAATCTACCAGCGAATCTATTTATTGGAGCATAAAATGAATATGTCGAAGGCCCAACAACAGATATTGTAGGGTGCCATTGGAAGCGGTAGGTGTGAGGGAGGCAACAATGGTGTGAGGGAGGCAACAATAGAGATCGACACAATTGAGTTGTGGCATGGGTGGTGCGAGAACCGGTTTGGAATCGATATATGGAGGACTCCTACGATAATGTTATTGTTCTGTCCCTTTCAATCTCGAGCTAGATGTTAATTTAGGTAAAGATTACAATGGTACACCAGTTTTTGATAAGGAGCCCGATGTCGCATGGCGCATGGCCCCAGAACTTTGAGGCACCACTCATGGTGGTGAAAATCAAGTTCCTTTTTTTGTCAATAAAGAAAGTAAACCACTGGAAGAAAGTGGTTCCATAGTGACACGTGTTCATGAAGCATTAGGGATAGTTATTTGGAAGAAACTCCAGCTGAGATTGGAAATAAATAAATTGCATATCATGGAAGGAATTTGGAGGAAGAAAGCTTAACAAATTCTACCTAAATTATTACCGAATGTGGCAAACTCTCAAGTTTGGAAACAACCTTGGATTTAGAGTTTTTCATTGCTTTGGAACCAAATTTGAAAAAAGAGTAGAAAAACGAGATTGTTACAATTACAAAGTATTAGATGCAAATGACTGAATCTTTTCCAACCAGATGAGAATGATACAGGATACATAGAAGTTAATATTTTATTAGTGTTAATTAATTTGTCTTTTATTATTTTATGTCTAGTAGAAGTTTCATCAAAACACGTAAATTTTCGGAATTTGTTTTATTTTAAAAGTCTAACTAGAATTTTTGTTGGGTTAGAATTTTATTGTAAGTTGGTTGATTTTGAATACTAAAAAACCATTTATGAGTTTCTTCAAATTCTCGATCCAACAAGTAATAATCCAATGTTATTGTTCTATCTCACATTTGTCCGCGTTACCACACATCTATCTTAAGACTTCCTTTCCACTGTGTTTGTCTTATGGACATTTTGTCATTTAATAGCCCTATACGCAATAGCAAAAAGCATAGCGCATATGACAATTATTTGGTGGAAAATTGCCTTCTAACTTCAAGGGATATTGCTATAACGTAGGGTCTATGTAGCACTTCTCCATTTTATTTAGCCGGTCTAGTTCTATTCATTATATTTTTTTCAAGACCTTCTTTGTTAGTCATAGAATCTAATTACTTAAAACAATTGTTCAGGACAACACGATGCTCTATGGTAACTCCAGCTTCATCTTTATTCTACTATTAGTAATACATGGCAATATTCATTTTCTTTTATAGTCAATTATCTTCCTATATGCTATACTAATATTCAACAATAGATTACAGAAGATGGTTCGACTCTGCAAAAAATTTCAAATATCTGTATTCTAAATAAATATAACACAGGCAGCATAGAGACATCATAAATGACTAAATTTTTGTCCATTGAATCTATGCTGTGATGCAAAAACTGGCAAGTTAACTGCCTCATTATTTCTATAGACCGGATGAGCAATAAAAACAGAGTGGTGTTTCAATGGAAACAAACATATAAATTGCAGGCAACTAAAATTAAGTGCTTTTTACTCAATATGTGCAAATAGAACAAGAAAAAGTTGATTCCACGAGAAAAAAGCACTGCAAGCTTAAATGAAAGGGTATCAGTGCATTGATCAATACCTTTTGGAGCCTCTGAGGATCAATAGAGAGTAAAGACAGAAAATCCCGTACAGTAGAAATCCTCGCATCATGCAGACGCTTATGTGGAGCACCATATTTACCAATGTTGACTAATCTCCATACCTCATCCAAAAGAGATGGTGGGTAGTGCTTCTTATTCACTGCAAACAGAAACCAGCAGTTACACTGAAATTTCTTCATCTCCATTTTGAAATGTCAATCCAATGCCCTAGAATTTCGATGATTTACCTCATGAATTGTCTTGTTTATATTTTGATAGGGCTAGCTATCCAAACAAAGAGGTAACTAGTAGGGCAACGGCATAGTTAGATTGCTAGGAGAAAAGGCTAAATGGTCATATATTCATGAGGTAGCATGGTGAATTGGACATTATGGGATAGCATTCAAAAACTAAAACAAGTTAAATCTTATCTCATGTATAGTCGAGTCCTATATTATACTGCGTACCGGATATGTTGTATATGTCATAGTGTATGATGAATTCTTAAGGACACTAAAAGACGAAAATCAAATTGAGAGCTACTTACATTTGCCGCGGTTATCTAGGACCATAAATGACTCTGTCCATGCTTCTTTCACCATACTTCCATCGAATTTATCCACCATTCTTGCCCCTAGCCTGCATTCGCATCTCTTCGTCCAGCAAGAATCCTGTCCTAACTTGACTTTTGACAATACGCCAATGCCTTTATCGAGATATACATAGACAGGTTTAGGAAAATGAGGCTTCTTCTTTTCATTTTCTCTAATAATGGTGTTATTGAAGTCTTTAAGACTCTCATTATGTGCATTATCATTAGGACCTGCCTCGAGAATTAATATCTCCACCTTCGCTGAGGCTTCAGGCCCTGAGACAACAGGATTCCCGGTTACATTATCAACTAAGGAAACTCTAATGAGGTTGCCTTCTTTTCCTTTAAATTCCTTCCCTGTCAAAACAGAATCAGAGACTTTGTCTAGGAATTTCAGCCCTAAACTTCTTGGTCTTGAAGGAGTAGCCTCATCCACCGAGTTCCTGAATTTGAATCACAAGGATGTCATTTAAAAGAGGTCTAAAAGATTAAGCTATTAAAGAACGTATAAATTTATTTATTTATTTAAATTCAGTCTTCAAAACACCCCCGACATGTATGCTTAATTCATTATTATTGACAAAGACATGACATGTGCACAATTTTCTTAAACGAGTAGTGGCAAGATTTGAACTTTCTAATTCATTCTATGATATCATGTTTAACCGCCTCATCCAAGAGCTTAAGCTGTCAGAGGATGTAATTCTATTTCTTTAATTACAATCTTAACCAATAAGAACTGTGGTGCACATGCATGTATGTGTGTATATATATATATATAAATGTTCCCAAATTGATTTTCTTATACAAGTATTAGCTTTTGCCTCCATTATTCTCCAGCTAAAATGACCAATCCA